GAATATGGAATTTCTTCAGGTGGTTGCCTATCCTGAAGTATTACCTGTCAGTACTGGTAACACTCAAAGGACCATCATTTATCTTAGCGGTAAAACTAAGCGTTTTCTCACACAGAGGAGGTTTGATAACAATGGGGAAAATGATGTTCCTAATGTGATGACATTTACATGGGAAACTGACTGAAGAATGTTGAAAATTCAAGATGAGTTCCCCTCGGGAATATTATAGGTTTATGGATGATTCTCGGTTTTTTGACATACTCATAGTTGCATTTTTGGAGTATATTGCTGCTAATTGGTCAGTGAAACCCCATACAACTCGCCACTTGCGAAGGACGCTTGCTCAAATTGGACTGTCGTTGAAGAAGCAGTTTCCATTTCACGAGTTGGTGAGCGCAGTGATGAAGTCGATGATGTTTTCAAGTCGCTTGAACAGATAGTCGTATTAGTTTTAAACGGCGAAAGATCTTCTACAGCTGATCGGCGAGAGGTAAGCGTTGGTGCTTCTGTCTTCACTATGGGGATTATTCTCTGGTAAATATATGTGTAGGTGACTTTTGCGGAAATTCTGAGGAAAATTGTGGAAATTCTCATTTGTTTCTGTACATTTACACCCGGATTGTTTGTATGTAAACTTGTATAATTAGCGAGGAAATCTCTAGGCTCAACTGAGGAAGGTGAACATAGGTTCCAACACTGTTATTGTTATTATTTTCGCACGCCTTCGAGATGAAATGATTGGCAGTTTTATAACGAATTCATTACAAGGTGCCATGTATATTAGATATATTCAATTTTCAGCGGGTTGTGTAGTGAATGCGAATGCTCTGTACTCAGGTGGGGAGGTGGACTGTTGATGCACTAGAGCGATCTGATATATGCATATTCGAGGTGGAAGATGTCAATTGTCAGGTGAGTTCAGCTTTTGCGGTGTGGGAAAAATGCACATAGTCAGAGGAAGCCGTAGGAAAATATCGTTGGTTTTTCTCCACTTGCTTTTTTTTCTTGTGAGTATTGAATCCATACAACTCAGGGTAGAAGTGGAAAAAAACCAACGGCGATTTCAATACAATCGATAAGTCAAATTTGTGAAGAATAAGTGTAATTTAATTTCATAATATCTCTTATCTCAACAACGACTAGCGCAGCTTGTGCTATGTCTTGGCGGGAAACATCACTGGAGAGAAGTGACACAAAATAGGGTAGAAAATTTCAGTTTAAATCACCTCGTTTCTATGATGTACATTTGGAAACTCCTGAGCTGAGCAGATGAGGAAACCAAATGTGTCTGAAAAGTTTTATGGAACGGCATGTGTTGAGAGCTCAATCAGAGAAGGAAACTGGTCGTCAGGTTAGCTTGGGTTACGCGCTGGCGAGGAAGCCAAGATCTGTGCTGCTACTTCATACGGGTCCCAACGATTTGCCACCAATGCTCGCTCACTACTGTTCTGATTATGATGTGGTGGTTTCCAAATCGGAGGAGGATTTGAATGAAAAAATTGAAGATAGGATATTCGCGGTGAGACGATAAATATGAGGAGGCTTCTTATATTTGGTAAATTGCCGATTCCAGTGTTGGACAATATGATCGCTTTCCTCAGCTGAGCCCAGAAGTTTCCTCACTTATATGCGAATTCGGGTGGAAGGATAATCTCCCAGAAACCACATATTGTCACCAACACATGTGGTCGAGTATGTGCAGAATTTCCAACACTGTTTCTGTGATACACAGTAGAATCATTTTGAATTAATGCAGTAGTGTTCAACCAGCTGGCAAGAGGATTATCAGATCCGACAGAGCAAGAGCGCCGATGGGAATCTCAACTGACGAGGAGATGGTCTCAGGAGGCGGACCTCACGATGTGAATTTCATGAGCAGCGAATTGTCTCGTGCATCTATCATCTCAGGATTGAGTTAATCATAAGTGTTGGGGAGAGAAAACTCAACAAAAGTTGGTAACAAGTGTGATGTATGTCTCATTCTCCCCAGGAAGTTTTGTGGCGCGCGGTCCTTAGGCGCACTTAGTTACTTGAGTTATAGTGAATAAAACACGGAGCTTGTATGAATTCAGTTAAATCGTGCCAAGTGGCCCTTTTTGTTGAGTTGATCCATCA